AAACTGCAGGTAGGTACAGTATTTACTTTTAGGTTATTTCGTAATCTGTTTATCATAAAGGATTGTGATTTTAGAATAATAATCCTTTTGATGGAAATGCTACTAATATTTGGAATTTTACCAAGGAATGGGGCAGGAAGATGCGTAATTTTTGTTTGTCAAATTGCCCTTTGTTTCAAGGTGCCCAAGAATACCGATTCAGCTAAAGTTGTAGAACTAAAAAAATAATTCTTCAGAGAACTAAGAATAAACAGTACCATTAACTCCAGCTAACTAAGAATATTGCTAATAATACTTACTGGAAAAGAGAAGTTTCAAAGACAACCAATTCTTTATGGCAAGTAGTTACTAAAGCTGTTATAGCAAATCAGAAATTTTCTTATATTACATAAAAGTAACTCTAAGTTCTCACAGTTTTCTGCTAGAAACTGTTCTACTAAGCTGAATGCAGTTTCCTAAATGATCCAGATGGTACCATACCTATTTGACTTCCCAGAAACCACCCATCATCATTCAGTAAAATAGATATGCTAATATACCTATTCATAGTTAAGAACCTCCCCAAAGAACTCTTAACAGCATGAAATACTACTCAAATTCAGGAAAAACTATCACATTCTATTTCTAACAACTTGATAGTAAGGGTGAGGAAAAGTTCTCAATCTTCTCCACTTACCCAAGAGTTTTGCGATGATATAAAGGGCTTGTCCCCAAAGAAACAGTTTTCCATCACGACCACAGTTGCTAGGAAACCGCTTTTGACTACCAGGATTTCTTTTCTCATATTCTACAAAGTCAGCTGGCACATAATAGTACTTTGGTATGACAGGATATCCTACAGAGTTTAAAAATAAATATATTTAAAATACAACAAGTCAATGTCCTTCGCAAATTTCCCTTTAAGAACCTGCAATGACTAGACAGCAAAGAGAGAGAAAGGTGGTACAGGAGATAATAGATTTGATAAGCTATAATAGAATGGGACATTCTGGTTCCTTTGAGAGACTGCCAGTGGAAAACATGGAGAAAAGCATCTTGATTTTAAAACTAACTCAACAGCACACTGCTTTAGCCAAAAATGTGTGCAAATCTCCTTTAACAGTTAATTTCAACACCTTTAAATGAATGAAATAATATACAGTATGCAAACATTTAGAGGCATATAAGAAGCTATTTTTAATAAGATAGTTTGTGAAAGCTTCACAAATTAGATATTGTGTAATCTTAAATGAAGACTTATAACCTGAAGCCATTGCTTAGAGAAAAGAAATCCCTAATTAAATATATCTGCCATTTGATATCATTGAAGGGAAAAAAGTCCACCTTTTCCTGTGACCAACCCATTTAAAAATATTCCTTTGGAAAAGAAAAATATTATTTATATAAAGAACAGAATTTTTGTAGAGGGCTAGAGAAGATGTTTTGTAAAGCCAACCCACAATAAACTTAATCTTCCTAATAAAATTGTGCAGTTTCCCTATTGCTTCCTTCTTCATCCATCAACCAATAGTGATAAGTGTATCTAAAATCCACCAACAACAGGTGTTGGCGAGGATGCGGGGAAAAAGGAACCCTTTTACATTGTTGGTGGGAATGTAAACTAGTACAACCACTCTGGAAAAAAATTTGGAGGCTACTTAAAAAGCTAA